AAGAGAGAGAATCGACTCGGCAAGGCGCGTTCGTCGTACCTTCTTGTTTCGCGCAGAAGAAGACCGCTCCTTGAAATCTTCTCCAGATCTCTTTAAATTCTCACTATCTTCTCCCTTGTGATACAAAACTGACGGTGACCGCATCCGCAAGGTTTCTCTACGCGTACTCACACACCGTGTCACCGACTCGAGGAGGATCGCAATAACCTTCGCGTCGGCCTTCGTCTCGTACCTGTTTTTTCGCGCGCGAAGATGAGAGGAGGAGAACTCGGGGTCTTCTATGCCGATCTTACCAACTACTTCGCATCGGTGTCTTCGTCCAGGCCGCTCCAGTCTCTTGTGTCTTCCTTTAAAAGAAAGAGAGTCGGCTCAGTAAGGTATCCTATGTGGGTACCTTACTGACTGCCTTCAGAAGATCGCTTTGCGTTTTGTCCAGGCCGCTTACGTGATGCTGCTGCTGATGCTGCAGGGCAGCGCTCTGTTGCTCCTGCTGCAGCTTCGCCTGTTTCTCCGCCTGCTGCTTCTTCATCATATCTTGCTCCTCGCGCTCGCGTCTAGCCTGCTCGTTGATCTCTTTCACCGCCCTCAGCTCCTTCTTCAGCTTCATTCGCCGATTCTGGAACCAGATCTTGATCTGTCGTTCCGTCAGGCAGAGCGCGTGCGCTATCTCTATTCGCCGTCGTCGCGTCAAATAGTGATTGAAGTGAAATTCTTTTTCTAATTCCAACGTTTGGAAGCGCGTGTACGTTTGCCGGCCTCTGCGCCTCGGGCAGCCGTTCGGACCTGAAAATGTTAAGAAATCTGATTTTTGAGATCCCTCGATAGTCTCTAGGTATCTTGGAGAGTTATTGTTTGATTTGCCAAGAAGCGTATCTTTTTCTACGGCGAATCGAAATGCCGGTGCGCAAATAAAAGAACAAAAGGTAATACACAATATATATATATATATATACACATCATAGAGAAATATAGTAACTGGCGAATTTGTGAAGTTAAGAAATCTTTGAGCTGCTGGGTGTCTTTAATATGGAAAGAAAAAATTACGAGATTTACATTTTATAATATATGTATATATACTCCATATTTCGGTGAAAATAAACGTAAATTATATATTGTATACGCGGTACGTTGCATCGCAAAGCGAAAGAGCTACTTCGCTGGGCCCGATAACACTTTTCTCAAAGTGTTAAACTAAATAACTAAAAGTACCGCCTGTCCCTCACGAACAACCTCGAATGCTCCTCGCATCCCGTCGCAAATCTCAACTCTCTCCGCACTTTCTCTCCCAGAAAAACGGCATACTTTCGACTCCTAGCCTATTGCGAGGGTTAAAAAAGAAGGTAGAAAAAAAAGGATGTGCGGAAAAAATGAAAGTTTCCCCAAAAGCTCTCACGTAAATTACTGACAGGGAACCCTTTCTTGTAGCGGTGCTTTATAACGTTTTCACTTTCTCCCTGGGAGACACGGCATAAAAAACGGACACGGGCGACTTTGTGTTTTTTACGGTGTTTAGGTGAGAATCGAAAACGCGGGCGGCGTCTAAAAAACGCAGGTAAAAAACAACTTCGCTCGACAAAAAACGTACCTGCGGAATAGAGGGAAGGAATGTTCCGAGTCGGATGTTTGCGGATAGTAACGGCCGAACGTAACTAAACGGTGTCGCGTAATCACGATCATCGAATTTCACGCGACTGTACGTTGGCGCGTGCGTTGAATGTATTTAAAATCAAAACAATAACGGGTAACAATTTATTAACGTCGGTGGAATAAACGTAAGTATGACAACTATATTAGGGACGACTTCCTCACGTAATAACGATACCGTTCAATTCCGAACAATGTAGTTTCGCAATCAATTTAAAAGTAACTTCACTTTCGGTTGTCGCTACAGGAAAGGAGCGTCTCTTTTGAGGATCGCTAAGGAACCGGTTCCTTAGTGCAAAGAGTGGACAGCCATAATACCATCATTCCCAGAACGACGCTGAGTGGCCATATTATTACCTCGTGATGTAGCAAATGCGTGCTACTGACCAATAAAAGATAGCAAGATTTTTGTTACGCATCATTTTATGAGAATACGAGGCGTTGTGTGGCACACGTTGAAAAGTGTGAAAATTATTGTTACGTCGGTAAGAGGAGAAAAGTCTGGAAAGTTATGCTCGTGACAAGCAGCACAAATGTGCCAAAAATAACAACATTTCATTTTATTACGAATTTCAACTTATAATATCGTCCGTGTGAAAAGGTGAGTTCTCTTTCGTGGAAATTAAATTCGTGATTTAATTAGCGGCATATTTAACATCGGAAATCAAAGAGCCACGGAAGAATAACGCTCGCTCGGATCCTAATTAATAAAACTGACTGCGGCGGTTGGTCAAGGAATCGATTCCACTAATCATGAGAAGTATCCAATCGTGCCCTCGACGCCTCACAATTCTTTCTCCGTTCGTCGTTAATAAATAAATCGACAATGTGATATTAGCTAACTGCAATGTGTATCTTTGGAATATCCGTTAGAGCGATTAGCGAGCGCTCGCAATTTCCTTATCGAATCGGGCAAGGTTACTCGTTTTTATTACGTGCGATCCGTTTATAGCTCGCGGAATAACATATATATCGAGGGATGAGATTATAACAGATAGCGAGGGTATTACCCTATGACAGATTTAAGTGAGTAGCACCATATTTTCTATCTTGTGTCATAACGATAGCCCGCGCTATAGCAGCTCGGGTACTCAAATGACACGCACGTGCGCAATTTCCGATGCGGGATGACCCATCAAGTACGTATCGCTCCGGACCGAGCAGAAAACTCTTGGAGAATGCAGAGAATGCTGATATTGAATTCAGCATGGCCGTTCTCTCGGCAGTGCGGTCCAGGTTTTGCGTCGGTGTGCCCGTGTGTACCTGAATCAGCTCACCACACTCACGGATCCCACTTCCATCCCGCGTGCGTGTAGAAGCCGGCCGGTGTCTGTATTGGAGGAATCAACGCGGTTTTTAGAGTACTCGTGTGCGTCAGTTTGGCACACGTACGTCTGCTGCAGCAGCCACGGGGTGGTTACCGAAGCCCGAAGGGTGGGACATAGGTTACCTTGGCAACCAGAGGGGAAACCATTCCATCCTGCTGGCGGCATATCACGCGAGAGCAAGCCCAGCAGCCAGAAAACCCTTCCTTGCATCCTCCCTACCGAACCCTACTAGGAGCCCACCGCGCCTGGGTCTTGGAAGACGGGTGAACTTGATTGCGCCCACTCCATTCGCCATAAATATGGCCCATCGGCGAAGTGCTGGCGCGAGCATTATCAATAATTTCGAAGAAACTAATGCCGTTGCCGGAATTTATTTGCCGGGAATAAAGTTGCTGAGATAGAAGCTCGCCTAACCCATAATATGCGCGCGCGCGCGCCGCTATTCGGGGCTGGGTGTGTATATATGAAATTACAATGCGGAAAGTGAAATTTTCGCCAAAATCAAGCACGAAATGCTACTAAATACCGTCCGTATAAACAACGATAAGTGTCGCCAATTAAGATTAGCTTGTTCTTCACGCGCAAAAATATGCAAAATCCCTTGTGCGCCGGATTCACCATAAAGGGGCTCGCGCATACGGATATAAAGAGTTAGATACCGTTTATCTAGAACCGTAAGAAGTGTTAATTAGCGTTTCGTGTGTGTAAATGATGCGAAAACAAATAAATTACGATTAACTTCGCTGATGACCCATTGCTACTCAGCGGAAGAACGATACATTGCGTGACACGCACACACCGAAGTGAAGCGATCGTGAATACGCCTGCCGCAGGCCTGCGACTAATTACGCCCATATACTAAGTTTAATATTTGCTTTAGGTCTGCTTTTAGTACGCAGCTCGGGACTTGGAGTACAATCGCGAATGCTGTGGAAGTTCCTCGGACAATGCTCGCTTTCATACGGTGCTACCGTCCACCCGAATTTCATCGAATCATCACCGCCGCGTCATTTGACTCGATGGCTGAGAAACAGAAAAGTGGACAGTACTTATGCGCAATGGTTTGTTAAATAATAAGACCGGTCTTTTTCAGAACGGCCTGTGAGTAGATTTTAGCAAAACGGCACGTGGTTGTATCCGCAAAAGTGCGTACTTTCCGAAGAACACGCACCATACGCGAAAGGAGACGAAGTCATTTAGAGGGACGGAAGAATTCTACGCTGTCGTAGCAAATAAACAAATGTACAGATTGTTTCTTAATCACTGTCCAATATTTCAGGCGGATGGTTCCCGAGAGGTCATTTTACACAGAAAAATTCGTATGAAAACACGTATGTTTATTTCTTCACAAAATAACCTGAAAAATCAACTCCTAAAATATTGGATGGTACTTTGAGAAACAGCCCGCGGCGTATTTATTTATTTGCTGCGATAGCGTAAGCAATTTTCTGTCTCCCCGAATGATTTTTTTTTTCCGTGCGTCATCTCGTTCCAACTCCATTATCTTCTCTGTGTGTAAACACACACGCACACACACACATAGTCTTAGCGCGGCGTCGAGGAAGATCATCCACCAAGTGGCATCGGCAATCTTCTTGCGCGTTACTCAGCGGTGTGAATCAACCTTTACAGTCTATATTATCTGTATACGCACATATGTAACGTCCTACTCAGAAATACTGTGCGCATAAATAAAGCAACTTCAAAGGCTGCGTGATGCAAGAAAAGTGCTATTGCTATCTGGTGACAATCACCGCTGGATGTTCGTCGCGGGTGTGCTGCGAACCATTTTAGCGAGAGAGAGAGAGAGGGAGAGAGAGAAAGAAAGAGAGAAAGAGAGAGAGAGAGAGAGAGAAGGTTCGCCATTGGAAAAAATCCTCCCCGCACGCGTCCGAAGGAAGGTGCGTCGGACAAGTTCCATGAGGGCGTCGCGACGTCGCCGACTATCCAAACTTGAACAGCAAATCGCAGGTTCTCCTCTCGCGTTTAGGCATGTTGCCTTACGGCCTAAACTCTCTTTGTTCGACTGCCGGAGGGACCGTGCGCGAGCCCCTCACCAATCCATTCATAAATATCTCAAAACGGCTTAATTTCGCGGCGCTGCGGGCGAATAAAATCTCGAGTCGGTGAAAAATGTAGACAGTTCGCCAGATGGAAGAGAGAGAGAGAGAGAGAGAGGGAGTGGAAGGAGGGGGTGGAGTGAGAGGAGATACGGCGTAGCCACGACCCACGACTCGCTTGATCGCCGTCTCGGGTCACTGCAGCTTCTGCCAGAACGTCGGAGGACCGAGTAGGAGGTATGCTAAAGGAGCGGGCGGGAATATAGGTGGAATGCGAGTCTGAAAAAAACAAGAGAGAGAGAGAGAGAGAGAGGGAGGGAGAGATGTAGATGAACGAGAGGGATGGACACAGCGCCGAGAAGGAAAAATGCCCACGATAACTCCGTCGTCCGTTCCGTCGCGGTTCCAGTTCCGGAGACGATTTATGCGGCTAATCCTCGTACTTTTCTTTGCCCACGTCTCGCCCTCGTCGCTAGGTATCCGGTTGAGCAATAATTCAAGGCTGTTGTTAGCCGGCGATTATTTAGTTTCATTAGACACGCCAGACGCATCGACGACGCTCTCTCTCTCTCTCTCTGACGTTCATTAAATTCGGAACCTCTCTTTATGACGGCGACCTCCGATTCGGCTAGTCCCGCGCGGCGCCGGAGATGCTGTTGCCACGGTCGCCGGCAATCGAAAGCATAAGTCACGTGAAAAATTCAATCGCTAGGAGGAAAAGGATCCGAGGAGGCGGACGAGAGGGAAGCTC